GATTCAGCTGTAGTCCTACCTTTCCACACTCACGGTTAAAGTCGGCCAGCATTTGTGCCGCTTGGCTGATGTTTGGTGTTATTAAAACAATGTCATCAGCAAAGCGGAGGTGGTGTAGTTGCCGACCATCTATCTTCACTCCCATTCCTTCCCATTCCAGTCGTCGCATGATGTTCTCGAGGGTGGCACTGAAGAGTTTTGGTGAAATGGTATCACCCTGCCGCACCCCTCTCTTGACATCAACGATCACTTCTTTGTAGAATGGTGAGATCCTGGTAGTGAATCCGCAATACAGCTCACGGAGGATCCTGATGTATTGGGCTTGAATGCCCTGATTGGCTAGGGCTTCAATGACCGCTTCCGTCTCAACAGAATCAAAGGCCTTCTTTAAATCAATGAACGTTAAGCAGAGCGGCATCTTGAACTCCCGAGAAACCTCAATGAGTTTGGTTATCGTGTGGATATGGTCGATGGTGCTGAATCCTTTGCGGAACCCTGCTTGCTCACATGGTTGTCCTTCATCTAGTGTTCTGCCAATCCTATTCAGGATGACTCGAGTGAACAACTTGTAGATGACAGACAATAGGCAGATCGGGCGATAGTTGCCAATGTCATGGATGTCTCCCTTCTTGAACAGTAGTACGGTCCTGCTGGTTTTCCATTGAGATGGAACCTTGCATTCAGACAGGTAGCGAGTGAAGAGCCGAGCCAGTGTATTGATGAGTACTGACGGCAGGTTCTTCAGGTGTTCAGGTCTGACCTTGTCTGGGCCGGGTGCTGTTTGCTTCTTTACTGACGAAATGGCGTGTCGGATTTCGGAAGGGAGAACGTTGGGAACGACATACCCATCCTGTGGAATTTGGTATGTCGGCAAGTGGACATGGCTATCGAAGAGATTTGAGTAGAAGTCATGGATAATCTTCTCCATTGCCGTTCTGGAGGATGTGATGGATCCATCAGGACGTCGGAGGGCAGTCATCTTGGTCTTATAGTTGGCGAAGGACAGGCGGGCGTTACGAATACTTTTCCCGGCTTCTGCCGCATCTACCAGTACTTCTGCTCTTCTCTCTTTGAGGTCTTCCTTGATCGCATCTCTGCACTGCTTTGCGAGCTCGGACGTTAGCTTGCGGTTGCCTGAGGCATGCGCCAAACCACGCTGGCGAATTAGCTCAAGAGTTTTCGAAGATAGGCGACTTTTTGTGGCTATCTCTCTCTTGGCGTTCCTCGCACATTCAGTAGTGGACACTACTTCCACTACCCAGCCGTCGCCACACTCCAGGACGCTTTCCGGACCCGCGCGGCAGCTCCGGCCGAGACCCACGCACAACTGAAGACCCACAGAACAAGGGATCGAATTGTGCACAGGAGACCCACCCTACCCAGATAAATACCCCACTGGCAGACTTCCACTCTCGACACTACTTCCACTACCCAGCCGTCGCCACACTCCAGGACGCTTTCCGGACCCGCGCGGCAGCTCCGGCCGAGACCCACGCACAACTGAAGACCCACAGAACAAGGGATCGAATTGTGCACAGGAGACCCACCCTACCCAGATAAATACCCCACTGGCAGACTTCCACTCTCGACACTACTTCCACTACCCAGCCGTCGCCACACTCCAGGACGCTTTCCGGACCCGCGCGGCAGCTCCGGCCGAGACCCACGCACAACTGAAGACCCACAGAACAAGGTAAGCGGAACTCTCTGAGACCTTGGACTCCAGGCTTGCCGGACCCAGGGACAGAGCTTCTCTGCTTGCTCCCACCACCACAGGTGACAAAGGGATTCTAATCAGGAGCCCCACCCTACCCTGCCCTGTCTGCTTCCATCAACCACCCAGGGATCGAATTGTGCACAGGAGACCCACCCTACCCAGATAAATACCCCACTGGCAGACTTCCACTCTCGACACTACTTCCACTACCCAGCCGTCGCCACACTCCAGGACGCTTTCCGGACCCGCGCGGCCGCAAGCGGCCGCGCGACACATCATAAGACACTAAATACCTGTCTTCTGGAATTGTCGTACCATATTTGATAGGGTTCAAATATGGTAACACCTACAAGGGGGATTAGAGGTCACCCCAAAAGCCTCTATACCTCTCGGAAAGACTGGCAAGCTACCGAGAGTATTCCGCCCGCACGGAAGAGCCTGGCAAGCTATCCGCTGTGTATTCGATATGCCAAAACCAGTAACTACAACTGGTCTCATTCACCTGACCCTGAAGGCTTCACCGACATGGCAGCACTGAGAAGGATGAGAAAGGAGAGGCCGACAAAATCTCAAGGCCGACCTAGGCTGCCACAACGAAGGAAGACAAAAATGATCGTCTGTACTTTCAATGCACGTACGCTAGCATCAGATGCATCCATCGAGGACCTGATGGTACAAGCGCGAATGATCAAGTACGACATCATTGGTCTGACCGAGACAAGAAGGCACGAATCTCACCATGCTGTTTTCGACACTGGAGAAGAATTGTTCCTCGGAACATGCGATAAAAGAGGTGTTGGAGGCGTTGGTGTCCTTGTCAACACAAACTTGGCCAAGAGCATTGATTCATTCGAATGCCTAACAACCCGAATCGGACGTTTACATTTGAATAGATGTGGCTCACTGCCTGCAGTTTCTATCTTCGTTGTCTACGCACCAACATCTCATTATGATGAAAGAGAAATCGAGAAGTTCTACATGGAGCTAGAGAAGTTCTATAAAGAAGACCACACCTTCTACAAGATCATTGTGGGTGATTTTAATGCCAAGATAGGACCGAGAAGATCAGCTGAAGAACTTCACATCGGAACCCATGGCCTAGAATGGAACGAACAGGGTGAGAGACTGTCTGAGTTCATCATGTCGACCAAGACCATTCATGGTAACTCACAGTTCCAGAAGGCAGAATCTAAACGATGGACATGGGAGTCTCCCGGTGGACGATTCCACAACGAAATAGACCACATCATATTCAATCGACGGTTTTGCCTGACTGATGTCGCTGTTGTCCCAAAATTTCGAACGGGATCGGACCACCGTCTCCTTCGTGCAAAATTCTACTTCACAGAGCGGGGAGAAAGGGCTGCAAAGTTCAAAAAGAGAACTCCCAGAACGACCACCAACTGGGAACTCTTTGGTACTATTGCGGCAACATGGGAAGATGCCATTGTTGACAACATTGACGAGGAATACGATCGACTGGTTCAGCACCTCCATAGATTCTAACTAAAATAAATTATTCACTATTGCCTTTTTCCAAATACGTTCAGTAAGTAAGAACCAAGGGTAGAAAATAAAGCTGCCATACAAGGGGCCTGCAAGTTAACGAAGAGACCCCTGAATACAAACATGACATATTAGCTATAGCTGAATGGTAGTGAATCTCACCGAGATAAAGTATTGCATTTCAGGTGGTAAAACTTTATTCCTATCAGATTCTTTGAGAACTGTTACCACATAGCACATGCAGAAGACTACTCCACGAGTATTGATGGCCAGGCCATGGGAACATACATGAATAACTGAAAGTCATTTTTACTGTAAGCAGATACCATACGTAGATGTTCTCCTCAGGATTCGGGTTCTAGAGTAGTTAGCATGATTAAAAATACTAATTTTTGAAGTTGGAAGGAAATCTTAAGATTTACAAGTCAATGGGGGCTGGAGTGATAGCACAGCGGGTAGGCCGTTTGCCTTGCCTGCGACCGACCCAGGTTCAATTCCCAGCATCCCATATCGTCCCCTGAGCACTATGAGGAGTAATTTCTGAGTGCAGAGCCAGGAGTGACCCCTGTGCATTCCTGGGTGTTACCCAAAAGAAAAAAAAAAAAGATTTACAAGTCAAAACATTACAGATCATCCACTTAATCATTACTGAGCTAGCTATGTCAGGTCCCACAGTAAGGCTATGTTGACTGCAACACTTGGCTGGAGAAGCTTATGGGGCAGAAGGAACATAAGTTTCATTTATCAGTAACTAAAGGGTACTGTTGAAAGAGATGGAGACAGAAGAAAGGCAGACACAAAGTGGTAGGGGATTTCTTAACAAGAAGAGCTCATTTCTGCTTGGAGGGACCAAACATTTCCTAGACGAGCCAGAGATCAGCTAGATCCTGAAGGAAAGAAAGGAATTTGCAACAGCATCTGGCTACCACTGAATTTGATTTGATGCTGATCAAAATGAAACTCTAAATTCTAAAAACTAAGTTAGGGAAAATGTGTTTAAAAGATTCCTAAAAGTTCTCTCCATTTCAATTCATTTTAAATGGAACTAACAATTCTGGTGCTGGTGCTTCGAGGACCTTTTTTCCTCGGCCTTCTTTACATTTCTGTGCTGTATCCTGAGGGAAGAGGAGAATCTGGAGGGACTCTGGAGGGACAGAGATCACACTCAAATCCATACCTACAGCTCACCAGTCTCGAAATCTGTACTTCACTCTCGAGCTATAGGTTAACACAATAGCTTATAGGTTAACAGCCAACATCACTTTAGGAACCTCAGCAACTGTCCCCAGTCCCCCAGTCTCCCTCTTTGCTGTTCTGCTTTATTGATTCTCCTTCTCCTCTTCCTCTTCCTTTTCTTCTTTGCTTTTTTTTTTTTTTTGGTTCTGTTTGTGCCATGCCAGTGGTACCCAGAACAACTTACTCAGGAATCATTCCGGGAGGTCCTCAGGGGACCAGCTGCAGTGCCAGAATCAAACTTGTGGCAGTCTCATGAGGCTACCTCAGGTTTGAGCCATGCGGTATAATACCATCTCTCAAGTTCTAGCTTACCATACTTCTGCGAGAAAAAAAAAATCTAATATGATTTTTTTTAAAGTTCATTTACAAGGCCAGAGAAATAATACAGCAGGAAATCCATTATTCTTACACATTGTGTGCCTGGGTTCAATTCCTAGTTCCTCATATCATTCTTGGGCCTCACCAGAAGCCTGAATGTCACCTACACCGCCCCACCATGAAAATCATTTACTGGTATTGATTAATCTTGTTTAACACTCACTTCCGACCAGTGTGCCTGGTAAGTCGAACCATCAGCTTGCGTGCCTCTTCTGAGCTAGACTGAGTGTTCTTAACAAACGAAATCGGTTTCTCAACTCCATGTTTCTCCAGAAGCTCTGACACACTGCAAGTGAAAGAAGAAATTTTTTTCAAGTCTTGCTATCAACAGAAAAGTCTAGGGATTTTAAATACACATATACACGTGTAGCACCTGAGTGCTTAAAGTGTGTAAGTGTACAAATAAGCATATAGAATAACCATCTTCTTATTTACATTATTTTTCATCAACAAAGTCTTATTCCCCCTACTGACTTTTATTACAATATACCTGGAATAACATTTTGTAAGACATAGCAAATCTTTCTCAGCATCTCTGCAACTTTCAATGAGAAGGAAGGTCCATTCTAAAAAAACCACATCCATTGAACAAGTTGAATCTACCTTTCAATACCTAAATTTAACTTGTAACATTCTTATTGACTCTTTCATTATAGGCATGTCTGCTAGAAAACTACTGCACAAATGGTTTTAGAATCGGTGAACCACAGAAATATCATAAAGTTTCAAAATCAGAAGAATTAGTTCAGTAAAGATGCAAGATGCATCATGTTCTCTTAGCTGCAATGAATCCTCTTCAAACACTGCATTCACTAGGCAACAGCTTTTATATACACCTAATCTGTCTCACCAAATCTTACTCAGATTTATCAATAAACTATGACTGGGCTTACTGAAAGGCAGGGCAGCCTATAGAACCTCTCCATGAAGACAGGTTTCATGGGTTATGCTACCTGACGCTATGAGTGCTCAAACATTTAATCAACTACTAGGGTATCTGAGGTGAAACAGAAATGAGAAATTCTTATTTTAAAAGATCAGTAAATAAATTGAACAACGAAAGACCTGAGTATCATCCAGAAACCCACAGTATGTTACTATTTCCTTAAGGTCTGGCAGGCAAAAATGGATCTGACAAGAACCCATGATTACACTAAGAATCATATAAACTGTAAAATAAACTGTTCTTATTTGACTCTATCTCTTTGTAATATCTCTTCTCAATTTCAGTCAAAAAGAAGGGAGGTAACCATGCACAGTCTGACAGATGAATGAATGTTGATATAACATACTGGGTTCTGGCTAAACTTTGCTCAGCTACTGAAGAAGTTTGAGAAGGAGAGAAACAAGTCAATCAATAACAGTGAAAGTTTAATTTAATTAAACGTTTCTTTCAAGAATATAAAAACCGGGACACAGAGAGAGCACAGTGGGTAGGGCTCTTGCCTTGCATGAGAGCAACCCCACTTCAATCCATGGAACCCCATATGGTGCCCTGAGCCCACTAGGAGTAATCTCTGAGCACAAAGCCAGAAATAAATCCTGAGCACTGTAGAGTATAATCTCAAAAAATAAATAAGTAAACAAATAAAAACCTACAATTTTCAGAACCCAAAATAATGAGAATCAATCTACACAATAAGAAGATTCTTGAGGAAATTAAAGAGTTCATCCTTCTGATATCAGTACCTACATGTTCATTGCAGCACTGTTCGCAATAGCCAAAATCTGGAAACAACCCAAGTGCCCTAGAACAAATGACCGGTTAAAGAAACTTTGGTACACAATGGAATACTATGCAGCTGTCAGGAGAGATGAAGTCATGAAATTTGCTTATAAATGGATAGACATGGAGAGTATCATGCTGAGTGAAATGAGTCAGAAAGAGAGGGACAAACATAGAAGGACTGCACTCATTTGTGGAGTATAAAACAACATAACATGAGGCTGACACCTAAGGATAGTAGATACACGGAACAGGTAGATTGCTCCATAACTGGAAGCCTGCCTCATGAACAAAGGGGAGAAGGCAGCTGAAATACAGAAGGGATCACTAAGAAAATGATGGCTGGAGGAACCGGTCAGGATGGGAGATGTGTGCAGAAAGTAGATAAAGGACCAAACATGATAACCTCACAGTGTCTGTATTGCAAACCATAATGCCCAAAAGTAGAGAGAGATTATGGGAAATATTGTGGAGGCAGGGGGAGGGTAGGAATGGGGGGGGGGGGGTATACCGGGACGATTGGTAGGGAAAGTGCACTGGTGGAGTGATGGGTGTTAGATCATTGTGTGATCGTAACCCAAACATGAAAGCTTGTAACTATCTCAAAGTGATTCAATAAAATTTTTAAAAAAACCTACTTTAGCAGCATCCCCCCCCCCAAAAAAAGAGTTCATCCTTCATTTAACTCACATAGTACAATATAAAAAAGTTTCATTAAACAGAATCCAGCTTGAAGTACTTTCATACTAAACTACATAAAAATGAATAAAACTACAATTTATTCATTCAAATTAATTTACTCCAAAGAATTATATTTTATTTCTTATATTATCACAAATGTGCTATGACTTTCTATCATTATATTAGAACAGTTTATTTTTCCTGATTACTAAATATGTAATACAAATATTTCAAAATTAAATGCAAGCATTGTGTATATACATACAAAAATTAAATAGAAACAAGGCAGGCCAGAGTGACAGTACAGAGGGTAGGGTGCTTGCCTTGCACACAGCCAACCCAGGTTGGATCCTTGGTACCCCATGTGGTCACTCAAGAAGTGCCTGGAGTAATCTCTGAGCATAGAGCCAGGAGTAATCCCTAACCATTGCAGAGTGTCACCCCAAAACCAAAAATAAATAAAACTAGCAAATAATATTAAACTTTCTAAATAACAAACAAGAATATTTCAGTTTCCCAAGAACCAGTACAATGTTTCATTTTGACAATAAAGTACACTACTACATTTTGATATATTTTAGCTATTCAACTAAAGATATTGTACCACCACTGAGAAATGCAGTTTTATACATTCCAGGTACTTAATCAAAGGTACCGGACAACCACCAAAAAAACCTGTGTTTAGTAAACATTATTTGCTGATAGATGAAATAACTAGTACAGGAACAAACATTTCTTTTTCTCCTACAATATGTGAGGGGCTTTAAGATGCTGATGCCAACGCAGCAAATGTGTTAATCAAACCACATTCACAGGTGAGCCACCGGTAGAATACGCTGGCATCAAAATGTTAAATGCTTAACCTAATGTTAATTCCCAAACACAGGAGCTAGATAAGTCGATAAATAAGAACAATAGCACACAGCAAATGCCAAGTGGCAACCTTGGCATTTGAACACAGGTCTACTAGTCACCAAAGTCGTTATTCTTATTATTCTACCATCCTGTTCAAATAAATGGCCTGTTAAGAAAAGTCATTACCATAAGAACCAAACAAATATGAGTTCAAACTGGAAATAACTACCAGACTTATTTAAGGTGGTCAGTCTCTGACAAACTGCCTCATCAGCACAGAGTCAACAAACCTTTATCTTTCTCACCTGAGAATCTGCTCCAGCTGGTCTACCATGTCATGTAGCACTGTGGTTACCTCGGTCTTGTTACTAAAGGCATAAGAAGGGAGGAAAATTCAGTTTTAGTCAAAAAATTTTTACAGAAAACACAAAATTCAACTGAAAAAAAAATAAACAACATTTGCCCTGTACTTAGTGAGTAACCATACTTTACATTCTTGGTAAATTTTCAGTCTTAGAACCTGAACTCATCCAGCATCGTTCATGATTCAAGATATTATGATAAAAATCTAGAATAGAATAATATTCTCTACTACAGACTAGCTTGGTGTGTGCTTTCTAAAAAGTACTTTTCAAAAACACTTCTAATTCACTTCTGTTAACTTATAAAAAAACAATCATAAATTAATCGTAGCCTTAAAAAAAAAGTGGAGCAAACAGGAAAATACTAGTTTTGTTCTTCTAACCAACAAAATCAGATTAGGATGCAAGGCCTCACATGCAGGCTGAACCCTGTCCACACTACCTGTGGCCCCACAGCATTTTATATACCCAAAGGACTTGTTTACGTTAACAATACCGCTGCTTCCACTTCAATATTACGGGACCACAGGGAAATATAACTATCATATAGAGATAAAAAGCAAATCATTTCTGAAGGATGTAAGTACACGGGGACTAAGAAATCATTACATGAAAAAAAAAAAAAAACGTAAGTGGGCCAGAACAGCAGTACAGCCGGCAAGACACCTGCCTTGCATGCAGTTGACCCGGGTTCAATCCCTGGCACCACATACAGTCACCAGAGAAGTATGAAGAGTGAAGAACTAAGAGTAAGTCCTGAGCACTGTCAGGTGTGGCCACAAAAAAGAAAGAAAGAAAGAAAGAAAGAAAGAAAGAAAGAAAGAAAGAAAGAAAGAAAGAAAGAAAGAGAAAAAGAAAGAGAAAAAGAAAGAGAAAAAGATCAAAAGCACTACTTGACATGTGGTCGCCAGGGAAAATACAGTTTCACACATAATCATACAAGTAAACATGGTTTTAGCAGAAAATCTGGCAAGGGCTACAGCAGATGCCCCTACCCGTGAAACTCAGTCCCAGCCACGGTGGTGACACTCCTGAGAACCATGATTGCCACTTGACACTTCCTAGTGCCTTCCATTTGACAACCCGGGGGAGTTGCAGCAAGATTTTGATTAATAAGAAAATCAAATAAAGAGCTTTTACCTAGACTTGGAAAGTTAAAATTAGACTAACTTTAATATGAAAGCCTAACTTTATTTTTAAAACTATCTGTCCTAGTTTAAATCTATGCAGCAATTAATCTGTACAGCTTAGAGATCATACTGTTTGAAAACAAGTTTTAGACCTTAAAACTATAATGATAAATTAGAACATATGCCACTTGAAGTGTTTCCTTTAAAAGTTAACATCCACTAATATCCTGCAAGAATAATATTTTTAACATGGAAACTGTACAATTGGACAGGTAGTGGGAAGGAAACTATGGTCACTGGTGGTGGGAAATGGAAACTGGTGGAGGGATGGGTGTCGGATCGTATATGACTGAAACCTCATCATGCAACTGTGTATCTCATGGTGACTCAATTAAAAACGTGATATTTTTTTAAAAAGAAAGAAACTGTAAAATTAACATTGATTTTTAAGAATATAGTATTTTCCTTTATGGATCTACGTCCACAAACCTAAATAACTAAATATTTTTTCAGCCAGATGTAATGTGTTACCTAGGTTAAAAAAAAAACTTTTTAATTAGATTAAATGATTGTTCACTTCCTACATGGAGAAAAAGCAGTTTACCATTTGATAAATAAGAGCCATTTAAACACTAAAAATAATCACTGCACAAAAATAAATTGACAGATCTGGCATAAAGAACAAAGAGAATAACCAAAAGAAGAGAGAGAGAACAAGGGGGAATACCCTGCCACAGAGGCAGGATGGGACAGGGGGGGCTGGGGGTGGGGGGGATGCTGGGACCCGTGGTGATGGATGACGGGCACTGGTGGAGGGATGGGCACTTGATCATTGTATAACTGAAACCCAAGCACAAAATTTGTAAGCCTATAACTGTACCTCATGGTATTTCACTAATAAAAAAGGGAAAAAAAAATTTAAAAAAAAAGAACAAAGAAAATAACAAAGTATTTTGAAATCCTACATTCTAGGTCTGTGCTAATTTATAATTACAAAGTATTTAGAAAATTACGAATGTGAATTCTAATCATTAATAAATAGTATAACAAAAGAGCATCAAAGCTAATTTTCATCTGCTAAAAATTGTTAAATCATTTATCTGAATCCCCAAAAAAGCTTTCAGACATACACAAAAGAGGCCTTTCTTGGCCTACATACTTTTAGAAAATGAATATACTAATTTCCTAACTACATGAATATTCGAATTCCCTAGCTGCAAGGTCTCTGTAAAAGAAATGTGCATTTTAATGTCATTTTTATTTAAAATATCAATATCATATCAATATTGTTATGTTATAATTTTATAATACTATTATATAAAAATATCAGTACTATAAAAGTATAATTCTATTGATGGCATAACATCCCTTTTTTGGTAGACAAATTACTGTCAATCAATTAGCAAATAAGCCCCACTAATCATTTTTATTTACTTGATATTATTGAAAAACTAAATTTAATACATTTACTTTTTAAAGTCACACACATCAGGTGGAAATCAATGCTTATGACTACTGCATTCAGAGAGAGAGAGGGAAAAAAAAAAGAGGCAAGAAGCAAACAGAGGAACCTATCTGCTTCCAAGCTGGGTCGTACATGGAAAAGACTCCTTCCCATTTCCGCTTCCTGAGGTAGATGGTAAGGTTAATAATACCTCTGGATCTCTTATCTCTCTTGCTCTCTAGGAAAAGCAATTTCACTACTGGCACCATATAGTCATAGGTCTAAAGTCTTTTAACAAGAGCTTGACGAGATAGCACAGCGGGTAGGGCGTTTGCCTTACGAGCGGCCAACATGGCCGACCTGAGTTCGATTCCTCCACCCCTCTCGGAGAGCCCGGCAAGCTACCGAGAGTATTCGATATGCCAGACACAGTAACAACAAAGTCTCCAATGGAGACGTTACTGGGCCCGCTCGAGCAAATCACAAAATAAAATCTTAAAATACTAGTGTTCTGGTTTCCAGTGTAGGTTAAGGTTCTCAGAAGCGTGTGACTCCCAAAGGCATGCCTGTTTGATCATCTTGCTTTTTACCAAGAATGTTTCTACACTTGCTGCAGTAACAAACAGATGCAGAGTCTACTGTGAACTCTCTAGCATCCTTCTCCACCACTGTCTCCATTAGCGTTATAATTAACAAGGCTAACTGCTTTTATTCCTTCTTGATGATTAGATTCAAATGCTCAACAGTTAATAATTGCTAACATTTCTGTAACATAATAGACAACATAAGATCACCCTATCCCCGAAATCAAAACTGAAAGGAGACTGACAATCTCATTACACAAATAAAAGGCAATTAACCAAAAGGGTCCATAAAGGAAAGGAATCCTCTTTCACTGACTTTGCATCATTTTAGTTTTAGACAGAAACTGATGGTCAAGAATTTAGACAGTTCATAAGGTGTTTGCCTGGCACAGGGCTGACCCAGGTTCCATCTCCACCGCCCCCTTTATGGTCCTCTGAGCCCACCAGTAGTGTCCTGAGCTCAGAGTTAGGAGTAAGCCCCGAATACAACCGAGTGAGACCCCGCCTCCCCCATCCCATCGTGTGTGCGTGCGCGCACGCACACACACGAATTTAGAGACATAAAGGAAAGTTTCTATGACAGAGAGGCAAACATACAGAATATAAGATTTTTCTGAAGGTTATTATAAGGGGTGAGGTAATACAGAGAGCACAGATTTTTGTGCATTTGTGAAAAAGAGATTAGGATGCTATTCGGTTTTAAAGTGAACAAGAGAAAATACTTGAATTTTAAAAAGGCCAACATAAACATTTAAATTCAAAATGTGAATTAGAAAAGAAAACCAAAGAAATATGCCAAATCACTTATAAATTACCAAGGGGAAGAAAAATTACCAAGGGGAAGAAAAATAAAGGGACAGTAAATACACATAGGAAAACAAATATACTTAGGAAAATATATAAGAAAAAATTTCAAATTAAAACACAAGCAATTTAGACTCAGAGTAAGACATTCTTATGCTATATCAGAACATTAAAGATTAAGAGAAAATACTAAAATATATCAGAAAGAAAATAAAGTCATAGTTATTCCAAATGGCATTGAACAACAGCACTGAAGAAGAAAAGAATGATGTCTTTCAAACTCATAAGGAAAAGCATTATCATCTTATTAATCCATGTGTAAATGGAACTTTTTCCAAGTATCATGATGCTTTACATTTTTAGGACATTTGACAGGCTTAAAATAAAAGTGTCTCCCATGCTAGCAATGTCCTTTTTGCCTTAATTATAGAACACCATCTCCCATTCATCTCCAATTTGATGTTTCACCATGACACTGACTTTTAGATCCACTGGGTAGTAGATGGTCTCATAGTCTATATTTATCTTATTGTTTGCCTCTTTTTTTCTCTTTATTTAATATGTTGCCTGATTCCCTGCATGTATTTCTAAGTTTGGAGAAAAGAACTGATTTGATTTAGAATAAACAATTTCACATCATACTGCATTTACACATCTGTATGGTCAGGTTAACCATCAGACTATATTTGACCTCTGAGTAAAGGTGAAAGCTGTCTAGACTTCAACTTAACAAAGGTAAGGTTTCCACTTGGAAGTTATAAAAAAAATAAACAGTTGCTGAGATAATATACTTTAGTATCAATAAAATATTCTTCTCCCATTTATTTTTATCTAATCTCATTGTCATTAATGATTGCATGAAACAATTATTTCACAATGGGCTACAAAATTGTTAATTTCTATCATTCATTTCACAATTTTCTTAGTATGTAAAAGAAAGGGAGAAAAGAAAAGGGAGAGAATGGGGGGGAAGGGAGATAGAAAACAGAACACAAGGTGATCTTGTCTAAGTATGTGATTTTGCAAATGAGGAAGCAGATGAACAGAGACTTCAATGCTACTCAGCGGAAGTCACTTCAGAAACAGGTCTGACATTCAGCACTCACTTATATGCCGTTTACTTCTCTAGATTCAGAGAGCCCGGCAAGCTACCGAGAGTATTCGATATGCCAAACACAGTAACAACAAAGTCTCCAATGGAGACGTTACTGGGCCCGCTCGAGCAAATCGATGATCAACGGGAGGGCCTTTACCTTTACCTTTACTTCTCTAGATGCGAAATTTCTGAAATATACTACATTAGAAAAGTGGCTCAAGGATGGACCGCTGCTTGACGTTCTAAGAGGAAAGTATGAATCTGATTTGGATACAACTAAATAATCTAAATTATTTAAGTCACTTATTTTCAAAAACACAGCATAGTTAGAATCACTTATATTCCCTCCTCAAAAAATTAAAAGTGGAACTACCACATATCTACTTCTGGGTCTATACGTGAAGAAAATAAAACCAACACAGCAAAGAAATACTCGCACCCTTGCATTCACTACTTCACTATTCACAACACCTAAGACGTGGGTGATAAATCCTCTGTCCATCAATGGATAAGATATAAAATTATATGTAGAAATATAATAGATATCTATCTAGACATATAAAAATTACAAACAAACACTGTCCGCCCGTTGTTCATCGATTTGTTCGAGCAAGCCCAGTAACGTCTCCATTTTGAGACTTGTTGTTACTGTGTTTGGCATATCGAATACGTCACGGGGAGCTTGCCAGGCTTTGCCGAGCGGGCGAGATACTCTCGGTAGCTTGCCGGGCTCTCCCAGAAGGGCGGAGGAATCGAACCCAGCTCGGCCGAGCTGGCTGCGCGCAAGGCAAACGCCTTACCACTGTACTATCGCTCCCAATAAAATGTTAAGCACAGAAACAAGAAAATCCTGTCATGTGACAATGCAGATGAACCCTGAGCACACTCTGCTCAGTGAAAATCACACAGATGAAGTGATCGATCATACAATCGTGCGATTTCGTGAGATTGAAGAAAATTCAAAACAACCAAGCTCAAGAAAACAGAGCATATTTGCTACTGGTGGAGGGGCAGGAAAGAAAGTGATCAATATCATAAACATTGTTATAAGATAAATAAATTCTAGGGATATGAGACCCAGAGAGGTAGGACAGCAGACAAGATATCTTCCTTGTCCACTGCCATCCAGCTGCCATCCCTTGCACTGTATTATGCGGGCACCTGAGCAAGGAGCACAGTCAGGTCGGACCCAAAAACAAAACAAAACAAAACAAAGTCCTGGTAACATAATGTAAAAACAATGACTATAGTTAGGATCCTACTAGTATGATATATTTGCAGCTGAGAGTAAATTCTAAAAGATCGGGAAGAGACATTTTCCTACCTATATTTGATAATGTCAACTAAATTTACTGCAGTAATCACATTACATGAAAATCAACTTATAATGTACGCCCTGAACTTATACAATAAGGCATGTCAATTATATAATAAAACCAAAAGAAAAATAAAATTATGTGTATGCCTATATTACTAAAGTGACTTCTATAAACAAAGGAGAATATGAAACAATTCTTAAACGTAAAACATACTTTGCGTAAAACTGAAAAAAAAAGCAAAAAGAGGTATCACTACTTTAGAGAGACTGCTTTATTACAGGTGATGATAGTAGTAACTTTTATTTACACTTTGATGAATAATTAGTAATCACCATTGAAAAGATACAGTGAAACATATATAGAAAAAAATAGAAATTTAGGCAACAAGTTTATAGACAATTTCATTTTTTTCTTTAGGCTCCATATTCCAAATTCTCTATAAAAATATTTTAGGAAGTTACCATTTATCTGTTAGGATGATACAGAGTATGTTACATTGAGGGTTCTTACCCATATCCTCTCTGAGGCAAACATTCAAGGATGTCATAGCAGAGAGACAGCTGGTCATTTCGTTCACAGCTATAGATGCACTCTAATGCTACTGCCATCAATTGGTCGTTGTCAGGAATAATTCTTTGGTGCAACTGCAGAAAACAGAGCATGTTGTACTTAATGTCAATAGATTTACAGTCAATTTTTCCATATCCCAGTATTACTCCCAATAGAATATTAAATAGTGCAAATCAGCTGCAGAATCAAATCTTGATTTTTCTTTAGCTTACAGACTTTTAAGGTCTTTAATAATTCTAAATGAATCACATTTTAATTACTGAATCAGCCAGAAAAGATAATTTGTACCCATAATCTCTGCATCTGCTAAAAACAGATTCTTCAATTTATGACCCATTCAAGATAAAGTACATAGAAGAAACACAATGAATTTAAAAGGCAATTCATTTAAAATAACATTTCTATCCCTCAAGCCAAATTTTATGTGCTTCAATTATAAAAATATATAAAAATCCCTTAACTAATATTCAAAGATGTTAGAACCTAGTATTTTTCAGTATGCATTATATATTAGTCATTTAACTAAACAGTACTGACATTCTATTTGAAAGAAATCACATTATAATCTAATAATATTCATATCACAGAACATATCCCATATTTCTGGTACAGAAAATGGCTATTTCTAGTCATTTTTTCTACACAGCAGATACAATTTTCAACTGCAAACCATAGGCTTCCTTTCTTGGAGTACATTTCTGGGATATGAAAATAACAAATTTATGCCTGTTTTTCTCAGCTACAAAACTGGAATAGGCTTTATCTTCCTAGAAGTACTGTTTAAAAGATAAATAAATGTAGAAAGCATATGCGTGTATCTATAGAAAGCAGAAATAAAATTGGATTTTTTTTTCTTTTATTGGCTTCCCAATGTCCCGAAGAGGCCCTCGCCACCCCCATGATAGGCAGCCTCCTTAGCCAGATGCTCGAAAAGTCAAGCCCAGCTGGTGATGATGTTCGGGTTCAGTGTGCTGCTGGCTATTGGGTCACACCTATAGGAGGACCGGTACGGCTACTGCCGGTGGCTCTCAGGGAACCTTCAGGGCTACCCCAAGATGTGCTCAAGGGGCCACGGTCCCAATCCCCTTAGAGCACTTTTTTAAAATATGCTTAATATAATTTATGTAATAAAGATCCACTGATTTTCAACATTTTTGTAAAAATTCACCAAGCAGAAAGGAGATGCTGCCAAACAAAGATTTTTTTCCCAGTAGACAAATGAAATTAATTTTCCTGAAAAAATACAGTCAAGGTTTTCTAAAGTAATTGAGTATTCTTTACGATATTAAGAAAAGAAAGAAAATAGAAAAAAATAGAAATTGAGCTTCTATGAGACCTAGCAATTCCACTGCTGGGACTATACCCTGCGAATATATATATATATATATAATATATAATATATATATCAAAACCACAATGCAGAAACGATACCTGTTCTCCTATGTTCACTACAGCACAATTCATAATAGCCCAAATCTGAAAACAACCCGAACAGTCAAGAACAGATAACTGGATAAAAACGCTATGGTACACGTACAAAATGGAATACTACTTATCCATAAGAAAATATGAAGTCGTGCAATCTGCTAACACATAGATGGATCTCAAGAGTATCATGCTGAGTGAAATGAGTCAAAGAGAGAGATGGATAGACACAGAATGATCTCACTCATGTTTAGGATATGAAGGAACATAATAGGGAAATAACCAATGACCAAAAGAAATAGTAATGAAGAAAAGGAGAAACGATCGTTAATAGGAAGCTCACCACTGGGATGGGACAGGGGAAGGAGGAGGTCAGGGAAGGAACCACCATGACAATGATAGAGGCTGGGGAGTCAAAGGAAACTGGAGACACTGGTGGAGGGACTGATGGCAGGATATTGTGTGCCTGATACTCAGATGTCAGAATATTATATGCCTGAAAGTCAATTATCAATAACTTTGTAACTCTGTAACTCACGGTTAATGAAAAAAAAAATGTAATGGGTAGGAAGCAATTAATCAAGGCATCAAGTAAAAAGTGGGGCAAAAGCAGGAATAGCCAATTCAGCAAAAAGGAAGTGTTTCTCAGACATGAATGTGTTAAAATTCACAAATAAAAGTGAAAAAAAGTTGTTGATTTTTTTTTAATTATTGGTCACATCCAGAGATGCTCAGGGTTTACTCCTGGTCCTGCACTCGGGAATTACACCTGGACGTGCTCAGGGGAGCATAAGGGTGCCTGGGACCAAACGTGGGTCAGGTGTATACAAGGCAAGCACCCTACCCTCTGTACTATCTCTTCAACCAATGGAAGTGCAAATTTTAAGAATACAAATATTTTCTGTTCCACATCGGTAATCATCAGGGAGATGTAAACCAAAACAACAGTGAGATATCATCTCACACCACAGAGACTGACACACATTCAAAAGAACAAAAGCAACCAGTGCTGGTGTGGATGTGGGGAAAAGGGGACACTCTTTCACTGTTGGTGGGAATGCCGATTGGTCCAGCCTTTCTGGAAAACAATATGGACAGTCCTTCAAAAACTAGAAATTGAGCGTCCATATGACCCCGCAATACCACTTCTGGGAATATATCCCGAGGATGCAAAAAAGCAAAGTAGAAATGACATCTGTGCCTATATGTTCACTGCAGCACTGTTCACAATAGCCAAAATCTGGAAACAACCCAAGTGCCCTAGAACAGATGACTGGTTAAAGAAACTTTGGTATGTCTACACAATGGAATACTATGCAGCTGTTAGGAGAGATGAAGTCATGAAATTTGCCTGTAAATGGATAGACATGGAGAATACCATGCTAAGTGAAATGAGTCAGAAAGAGAGGGACAGACATAGAAGGACTATACTCATTTGTTGAGTATAAAATAACATAACATGAGACTGACACCCAAGGACAGTAAATACATGGAACAGATAGATTGCTCCATAGCTGGGAGCCTGCATTATGAGCAAAGGGGAGAAGGCAGCTGAAATGGAGAAGGGATCACTAAGAAAATGATGACTGGAGGAATCAATAGGGATGAGAGATGTGTGCTGAAAGTAGATAAAGGACCAAACATGATAACCTCACAGTATCTATACTGCAAACCATAATGCCCAAAAGTAGAGAGAGAGTATGGGGAATATCGTCTGCCATAGCAGCAGGGGGAGGGCATAGAAGGGGGTGGTATACTGGGGAGATTGGTGGTGGGGAATATGCACTGGTGGAGGACAGTTGTTTGATCATTGTGTGATTGTAAACCAAACATGAAAGCTTGTAACTATCTCACAGTGATTCAATAAAATTACAAAAAAAAAAAAAAACAAACACAAATATTTTATCTATCACACAATTTTAAAATATGACAATGAATTCTTCCTGCAAAATTCTGAAAATGTCTGCAAAAAAAAAAAGATACATTCATACATTGTGGGCATGTAAGACTATAAATTGAAACAATGTCTCTGGAGAGGAATTTGGCAATACCAATATAATCCTTGCTCTGGACCCCGGATGTATTTCCTTGTAGGAATACATCTTGAATTTACTCCAATAATACAAAAATACAACTGGGCAAGCTATTTATTGTAGCATTGATTATAATTACTAAACTCTTGAAATAGCACACATGCATACTTAGAAAACTAATAACACTGAGCAATTCAATTTCTAATTTTACTGCATTTTTAATTAATATAACCATGTGGGTAATAGCTACCATACTAAACAGGGTAGCTTTGAATTTCCTAAGGAGCGTGGACCAAAAGCAGACAAGCAAGACTAAGATTTTGCAATCAAGTGTTTAAAGTGCTGAGTAGATTCCCTCGTCCAGTACTTCCTGTCCAGACCCTCTGAAGTACACCTCAAAAATAACGACTGGAAACAAAACTGCCTTTTTCAAACCTGAGTCAGCTCATGCCATGTATTAAGCCATCTTCACTAGTAAAACAATGGTAATAGGAGAGCAAGAATTATTTGCAACACATATAGTTGGAAACGATTAATTTCCACACAGGGAACCACAAATTAAAACCATAAATGATACTACAAATTAATCAATTATGATCCTATAATCAAGAGCCCCCAGAGGTCTCACTAGGATAAAATAAAGGACCTAGAAGAGTTGCATTTCTTTTGGGTACTCTAGGAAATAATCCTTTTCTTGCTTTCACACAGTTTCAGAAGCCATCCAAGCTATTTGTTTCCTGGCCTGATCCTCTCTACCTCTCTGTCTCCCTGATAAGTCTGATAAGTCTGATAAGTCATACTCCCTCTGACTGTGACTGGGAAAGAGTCTCAGATGCTTTTACAAACACCTATGGTTAGGTGGGATCCAACCAGATAATCCATGATCAAGACAAAACCCCTAATTTAATCCTAATTGCAAAATCCCTTTGGCAGGTAAAGTAACATCACATACTCGGAAATTAGAACAGGGTAACTTTGGTAGTGACTCAATGACAGGCAGCAGAAATTGCAATATTTTATAAAAATATAAAAAACAAAGTAAAAGGCACTCTTGACTTTTCAACATTTGGAGTTTTATTATCGCCCAAGATCTTTAAAATGCAGGTTCTTAAATCACTTTAACTCTAATCACAGAATATCCACTTGCAACTGACTACCTTGCTACTAATGCATCTGGTATTTTCTCATCATTGCTGATTTATATGCCAAATACTTTTTCTATACTTTTTCTATACTTATTGTTCCCTAGGGCACAATAATTTTTTATCACTCTCAATAATTCTCTCATATTTCTTTCTTTGGGGGGCAGTTTCCTTTTTCCTGAAGCATACTCCTCAATAATTCTTTCAGGATAGGTCTGTAAATGGTAAGTTCTCACGGTTTTCATTTATCTAAAAATACTCTTTTTTCATGCACTCATTTGAGCATAAAACTTTCTTTGTATTGGGGGCTGGAGTGATAGTACAGCAGGTAGGGCATTTGCCTTGCACGTGACCATCCCGTGTTCATTCAATTCCCAGCATCCCATATGGTCTCCTGAGCACCTGAGTGAAGACCCAGGACTAACCCCTGTGCATGGCCAGGTGTGACCCAAAAAGCAAAAAATAAATAAATAA